CCCCCCCTTCTCGCCTTTGTTTTGCTGATTTCATTTCCTCCACAAATATACGACAAGCTTCCCTTTAAATAAGATAAATCCACGGTATACATCTAAAGGTCATGATTTGCAGGACGCCTGAGCCATCGATCTTGCCTCATTGGGGAATTTCCAGCACGCCAATGATAGCGAGAGAGCACATTTTGTTTTTTGCTTTTACACAAACGATGGTGTACCTCGCTATTTTTGGAGACGTGACAGGCAAAAAGAAATACCATGCACGCTAGTCCAGGTTTCGATTTTTCGGCCTCTGTAATGAAAAAAACATCAGCTTGATAATAAATTCTTCGTGCGGTTTTTTTTCGATCGTGGTTGGTTATTTACGTCTTTTCGACCAGAAGGCGCAATTTTTTGTTTAGTCCAGGAGAGTCGTCGTTATTCTGGGTTCCAGATTAGGCTTGTTATCACATACTCAGATAATGTTACGTCATTCTTTCAGACTAAAAAATATTTACACATATTTTGTTTATTTGCTTTCGAGTAAGTGCTTGCTCCTGTATGCTTTGAAACATCGAGAAATTGAAAACACGTACATTTATTTCAAATTATCTCAAAATATCATCATCATCATCATCATGATCATCATCATGCGCACCATCATCATCATTATAGTCGTTGTCGTCGTCGTCGCCATGGAAATGCTCACCTGGTTTAATAGCTCACAGACTGATTTCGCTTGTTTTAACATAGGCCGTTGGTTCTCGCTGTGACAGTTGGCATCTTTAACTAGGACTGTGCCAAAAGAGTGAACATCGATGAAGCTGTTTTTATGGGCTGGCAAAGGAAGGGGTAGGTATATAGAGTATAACAGAAGAAAGGGTGTGTGTTTGAGGGGGGGGGGCAATGATCTCAGGATGTTACTTACGTTCCCGATCCAAGAAATGAGTCAAGCCAGTGCATTCCACCATGTATAGTGACTACTTACAGTGATGTCTTTTCCTTTGGACGTGCTTCTTAATTGTGTTTAGGTCAAAGTTAAAAACAAATTAATGCAAATTGGGAGCTACAGTGTGGTCATAAAATGGTTTCCAAATTTGACAACAGAATTGAAGTTAATGTCAGAATGCGCACAAATCAAATTAGACGAAATACTCGGCACTCTAGGCCTACGAGGCTCTTAAAATAGCACTGCTGCTAACTTCTTGCTATTATGCAGTAGAATTTCACAGTATCACTTAGAATGACGCTTAAAACAAAATGAACTAAACCGCAAAGATGGAGTTAAGCTCAATAAGTATATTATATTACAAAGAATGGATGGTCTTTTGTTTTGCCCTTAGGGTTCGCTCATCTACAAAGTGTGATCGTCTCTCACTGCACAAAAAACAACAACGGACAGACCTTTTGAGGATATACCTGTGCCTGTGGTGTAAACGTTAGACTGTAGACACGCTGCTCTGCTGCACTCATAGCTTTATGAATTCTGCTCCTTTCTGTCAGCAAGTATTGTCTTTTTTATCCTAATGTAAGATACTTTAGATTATTTAGGAGACGGGCTTCTAACCCTGTCCGACAGGGGCCAACCAGGGCTGAAAGGGATACATCCCAGCAGAAAGGCTGAGACAAATTTTTTAATTATAAAAATATTATCTCCCCACTCGGAAATCAAGCTTGGGTCTCCTGTATAATATAGCGAAGCGCCTCAACGCTACACCACAGACGTCAGTAGGGGGCAAGTCTATCTTTAGAAGTGTTTCTGTCTTTACTGCTGAGATGCTGTACGCCAATCAACTCAACTTGACCCTGACAGGTAAGAACAAAATAAGCCAGCAACTGAATTATCCAAACCATGTCGATTGTGATGTAAAAAACATTTTAAAATTACTGATAAAACTATGGTTGAGAATACTGGTTTTTGCGATGCTGTGGTTAAAAGCGCACACAGATGACCTGAATTCGATTCCCGTGTGTGGAGAATTTCTATCTCGTTTTAAAAATATTTTTATGGGACGTTGCCTCCCTCTCAGCCCGGGTTGGCCTTACTCAAAAGGGTCAAAGCCCATCTCCTAAGTTATCTCAGTTGTGTAAATTTCGGAGTAAAACACTCAAAGTAAAAGAAACAAATTCAAATATATATTTTTAAAAGGCACAAAAACAATTACGTTCCAAACACTAAAGGAAGGACTATGTTGAGGTCATCCGAAATAGCCTTTACACATCGCACCGTGGGGTCCTAATGCTGCTTTGCGCATGCTAATGCAGTTGGCTTACCTCAGTCGGAGCCCATGGGCTGGGGACTGTGCCTATAATCCGCGAGAACTGCTTGCACTTCCGGTCACGTGACTCACACTTCTTGGGCGGAACTATCTGCAGGGGAAAAGAAAAGGCGTGACTGACGTTGCATGTGTGTGTGTGTGTGTGTGTGTGTGTGTGTGTGTGTGTGTGTGTGTGTATGTGTGTATTAGTGCGTGTGTGTGTGTGTGTGTGTGTGTGTGTGTGTGTGTGTGTGTGTGTGCGCGTGTGTGGTCTTCTT